TAGGTGTACTGTGTGGGTGTCCCAATACTTTTGTCCATATAGTGTATATCCACGTATTCAGCTTACAGCAGTTTAGCTCCACCAGACTGAGGTTAATCAGTGTTTCAGCACAGACTACTTAAAGTTTGGTCACCCCTGGTTGATTTAAGTAAAAATAAGTGAAAGCAGCCTCTTCAGAGAACACAGTTCTTCAGGAGGACGAACCTGTTATACCAGTCTGATGGAGCCGGTGCAAGTTTCGGCCACGTCGCTAAGATAAAATAGCTGCCACCTTTTAAAGCTATCTATGATACGTTTACGGCTGGTTCAAGTAAACAGTAAATAGTAAACAGTAAATGCTATGTAAGCCACTCTCCCTCCTTAAAGCGTCTCAGCTACTGTACTGACCAGCAAACAGTATGTAAACATATCCGTGTATCCCAGCTTTGAGTTCAGCACATGTTGAATCACAAACACCGTGTGGTTTGAGATGAAGAACAGAGCATTGTGGTCTTTTAATTTTAGCCGTGAGACTATAGAGGTCACTTAAGGGGATGAGAAGAACAAGAGCTGAAATCTCAGCATGGTAACATGTTAGAGGCCATATTAAAATATCAGCATGTCATGTAATTTCAAGCAGACTCATGCATCTCCCTTGGCAACCAATTCCACCACATTCACAGGGTCAACTGAGGCAAAGGGTTGTAGGAGAGGAGCTGTTGCCATCAGACTCTGTAAATAGGTCGCCATCTGGTGGCTGTTGGCAGAATCACATTTATCAAGGCATGTTGCTGAGTGTTAAATGAGCTGGACAGAGCGTATTTAGGGAGAGTATCCTTGGATCTGTGTAGGGCTGAAGTTGATAACCTTTGCCGAAGACGAAACTTGACCTGAGTTACGTACTGAAAAATGTTCTGATCAGGGATTCCTGTGTGGAGATTAAGTAACGGCTTTGGTGATTCATAGATCTGTTCATTTTATGTTGACTCATAAAGCCAAAATCATCATGACACCCGATTAAAAATCACAGTGTAGTTATGCCCCCATCAGGATGTTGGTAGAGCCAACTTTTTCTCTCCATCTATACATTTTATGTGTCATACTTGGCACCACACAGCATTTGTAGATTTTTTGCGCTCTAATATTAACTGTAAGATCACATGCTGGTCTTGTTATGAAGCTGCCAACATCATTAATATTACAGAAATACAATAAAGAATGGCTGATGACAAAACATGATGATTATGAAGGCAAAAGTCAGAGACCACCCTTCATTTTTTAATTTTAAGTCAAGTTAAAAAAATGACCCTAACCCATTAGAATCAGAATCAGAATCAGAATCTTTTTTTTTTTACCAAGTATGTTACAAATGCAAGGAATTTGTTTTAATGAGTGAACATGAGTAACATACTAAACAGACTAGACAAGGAAACAGACTGTTAACAAATATTGGGCAAAGGGAAATTTTAAATAAAAATACAAAAATGCTGGAATAAAGAGTAATGAATGATAAAGAGCAATGTAGGAGCTGAAGAGAAGTGTGAATATCTGTACACATGCAAATACAAATACCTAATACTCTCAGAAATAAAGGTACTAAACTGTCACTGGGGCAGTGCCCCTCTTACCACTGGGGTGGAACCCTCAAGGCTCCATCTCAGCACCTTTAGTCAGGGAACATAACTGAACCATAATCCACTGAAATGATATGTTCTAAGCTGTACTGACTCCACACACCCCGTCTCGTCTCCAGGCTTTTATTTTACTGTTCTGTTTAAAACATTCGGTTATGAAAAGGTACAAATACGAACTTTTCACCTGGAAAAACTTATTTAAGGTTCACAATCAGACCTTAGAACCACTGTTGGAGCTTTGAGGGAACATTTACACTGTTTGTACCTTAATGAATTAAAAATGTACCTGAACAGTAACTTTATTTCTGACAGTGTATATATGAAGGTCTGACGACATACAATTAAGTACAAGTGGCACAAATCTGATTTTTTGCTCTAATGTGACTCAGATCTGATGTTTTCAGAGCTGTGTGGACACTAGATCCTAGATCAGATACGTATCCGATTTGTGGCCATGTGACCTTAATGTGACGCTCAGATCGGAATTCATGAGCTTTTTTTTCCACTGCGCGTGACCATCATTCAGCGTTACCATGGCAGCAGCGCCAAACGGAAGTTAAAGCCTGTAAACGGTGGAAAAGCAGCTCATCTCACCTTTTTCTCCTTCGTCTCGCTCTAATAATGAAGCTGAGAGCTGATCAGAGTTAATGATCTTCTCAGCGAAGCTCGTTCTGCTCGTTAGTTTGTGCTGATGATGAACGTGATTCCTTCACGTGACGTTACTGAGTAGGATGAGCTCTTGAGGGTCATTTCAGGACGCCGGTTCGTCACATTAATGACAGATTAGAGTCACTTACCTAAACGAGTGTGAACCATTGTGTCAGAGAGATCGGATTTGAGCAAAAAATCGGATTTGAGCAACGAGGCTTGTAATGTGAACGTAGCAAACGTGTACAAATCCGATTTTTTGCCCTAATGTGACTCAGATCTGATGTTTTCAGAGCTGTGTGGACACGCAAATCTGATCTCCTCAAATCTGACCTGAGCCACTTTCATATGTGGTCCTAGATCGGATACATATCCAATTCGTGGCCATGTGACCTTAATGTAAAGCTCAGATTGGGTCATTTCAGGACGCCGCTTCGTTCACTTTAATGACGGATTTGAATCATCTGCCTAAACGAGTGTGAACCATTGTGTCAGAGAGATCGGATTTGAGCTATTAGGGTTGTAATGTAAACATAGCCTTAGAGCATTTTCTGCTTCTCAGAGGTCAAGTAAGTAATCCCAATTATAAATGTAGATACAATGTAGATACATCACACCATACAAACCTTTGATGTTCTGCTGCAAATGTTTTTTATTTATTTCCTTTTCTCAGAAATGGGTTCTTAACAGTAGCACTTCCTTTCAGACCCATAGCGTTGAGTTGTCCCCTCACACTGAAACACCAGAAACACCTGTGGATGTTTTCAGATCTGAACCAAGAGTGGACCTTGATATCTCCCAAAGTTAAAGCATTCAGCGCTGTTTATCCATGGTGACAGTTTTGGTGGTCTACCAGGTCTTGTTAGGAGTCCAGTTTTCTTGATATCTTTGATCGTTTTCCTTTGACTTTCCCGTTCTTTATGCAGGTGGATTATCTCATCTAATCTCCTGAGGAATATCTTGACACCAGCACTACATTTAAGCTTACAGTCATCATCTGTGTTTACATGTGAAAGCTTGTTTGACCAACAGTGGTTTCAGTTCAAACTCTTTCCTCCATTCTTTCTGTCTCCACTCTTAATCAGCCGAGGACTCGGGGTTGTGTAAGCGCTCTGTTCATTACGCTCCTGCAGGTGCTCTGTTCAGCGGCGAGGCAAGTGAGTCATGAATGCCGCTGATAAAAAAGCTGTTTGACGCCTGGAAGAAGAGCAGAGCGAGCACAGCTGAGAGAAATGGGATGGAGATATAGTTCACCCAGACAGCAGAGTAAGGCCCAGTCCCATTTCACACCTCGCCCCTACCACTGAGCCCTTAGCCCTCTGTTTTGCGTGTTCACAGCTAGAGGTAGGGTGTCCCCCAGAGGTTTTTCAGAGACACTCCAAACTGAGTGTTATGGGGGAAAAAAAGAAAAATTGGCAAGATGGAGAACAAGAGACCAAAGAAACCCACAAATGTGAGAATTTTCTCTGTTAAAAAATTACGATAACCACTGTATTATCTTAGTTTAATGTTGTTTCAGTGTATTATGGTCGTTTTCTTCATAACAAGCATGAAAAATCACTAATATCACTAATAGTATGCTGATGTCTCACTAATCACTAATAGTATGCTGATGTCTCGGTAGCTAACTTGCTACCTTGCTAACTTTTTTAATTACTCCATACCTGGGAGCTACAGTGCAATACGCCCTCTTGTATATATACTTATTTAAAATGTATTTATCTGTTGACATAAATATGTTTACATATGCACCACACTCTGCACTACATTGCATTTTGCACTAAACTGTAATTTCGTTCTAACGTGCACTGTACGGTGTAAATTTGAATGACAAAGTCTGTCTAAGTCTAACTTTCCCGTTCCACCTTAAATAGTCCAGCAGTTCTGACACCTGAAGCGCCAGAATGTAACTGCTGCTCCATTTAAGGTGGAACGGGAAAATTCGAACAAGAATCTGGTGAATATCTGACTTCAGCTTCATATCACTGAAGAATTAGGGGTGGGCGTTAATAAATAATTGCCCCCCTCTTTGAAGTCATATGATGCCCTAAATGTAACTAAAGCCCAGCAGTGAGGAGCTGAACTTTACCCTCCTCTGCTGTCACTGCAGACTGGCAGGGTCGCCTACAGAGCAGCGCTGGTAGCTGTTAATGAAGTGATGCTCTTTTTATTTGAGGGTCCCATTTCAGAGGGAAGATTTCAACCACTACCCTGTAACTCAGTTCTAAGGGGTTAGGGTGACACTCGAAAACAAGGGGTAGGGGTAAAAATAAGAAATGGGACTGGGCCTAAAAGTTGAATGCGTGCTGTCTAATTTACACTCATTCAGGCTAGAGTTAGCATTATGTCATGATTTCATTTGAGCCCAATGTTTATGTTTAAAGGAATTAATAGCCAGCTCAAAAATATTTGCTTTGGCAGGAATAGCAGCGAAAAGAGAAAATACTTGTTGAAGGACACAGGTGTCTTGGTTATTAGACCCCCCGGCCTCCAGGAACATCCGACAAATGTGACTAACAGGAAGGACGAATGGAGTCAATCAGTCTGCAGCTGTAGAGGGATAAAAGAAGATGTAAACGAAAACACGTTCATCCGTACGAGCATTCAGTAGCAAAAGCGATTCAGCGACGCACTTTCCCTCCACATGAAGCTGTTACACAACAACCTTGTAATAATGTGGTGCTTCGTTTTGCGAGGATGCCTGTGCAAAACTAATTGGCTTCTTTCTCTGCTCTCCAGCATACGACGGTGCTCCCTTTCATCATAATTGAGATGAGAACGACACATCATCAATATCCCAGCAGGTTGTGTGGACTGTTGGCCGTGTGCAGCTTTGCTGTGGGATATGTTCTATGGTAATTGCCTTCGCTCTCTATCACTGTGGCCTAATATCTAATCGACACCCTGATGGTACTGAGATCAGTGGATGGTTGTGCGGTGCAGTCGCTTGGAGTCAGTATGCACAGTATAATTATTATGTCAGTATGATTTTCACGAGAGCACAGCACAGTATCGCCTTCTGTACTGATAAAAATAATATCTTAAAAGGAATTTCAAAAAATAAACCAGTATATCGCCATTTACTAGTATTAGTAGTGTTATGATTGTTTTGGTAGTGGCTATCGTTTATTATAATAAATATAATTTAGACATAAGGTCACTCAAAAGGATTTTAGTGTAAAGTCCAAGTCAGCTAAAAGTCTTAAGACTGTCTTTAACTCTGACTTTGAACCAGTTCAGCAGAATGATGCAGGTACGTATGTAATGTTGATGGGGTAAAATAGTGATAAATCTGAAAATAAATTTTCTTTGGGAACTATTTTGCCTACATGTATGTTAAAACTGAAAGAAGTAGCATCGCTAAGTCAGGAAAAGAAAAAAAAAAATTATGGTGTGTTGTGCTGATGTGAGTCACCCTGTAAGCCTGAAATAGTAATTTAAAAGACAAGGCAACTTTACTTGTATAGCACCTTTCGTACACTGCTGTCATTCAAAGTGTCTACGAACAAAAACATACAGAGTCATTTTAAAAAGTCAAGGAGAATAGAAATTAAAAAACATGATTAAAACTTGATTGAAACAATAGATTTACAAGATAAGAAATTAAAAATAAAATTAAAAATAAATTAGGATAATTAAAAATAAAATTTGAAAATAATTAGGATAATTAAAAATAAAATTTGAAAATAATTAGGATAATTAAAAATGCCTTAAAATACCTTGTCATGGCAAAACCATGTAATTTGTGCCTATATAACTCTTTAAAATCTCAGGCTTATTAAATTCTAGGGGTAATTATTCAATAACTTAATGGACTATAGCGCAAACAGACTGAGCTCTTCTTATTCTTAGGTTAAGAAGTGTGATTTGAACCTGCTGTCTTGGTCATTTAAGGGGTTACAATATTAACTGATCACGTAAGGCATTATCAGATTTATGCATGCAGCATAGTATGATTATAGTCTTCGTTTTACATTTCCAGAGCCTTATACAAAAAAATTTTGGTAACACTTCACTGAAGGGCAGCATTCATAAGGCCACATGACACCTACATAAGCCTTTAATGACATAAATATACATACAATTTTATAAAAGCTTATTTAAAGTGTCAGATTCCATAAAGGCTGCTTTTGTCAATGTTGACGTCATTTCACCTCAGGAAGCATTATGACAGCTGACGCTTGTTGGCGTAAGCCTCTATAAACGCTTATATGGTTCATTCTACCAAACTGGTTTAAAGTCAGAGATGAGAACACTTTGTGGGCTTTTAACTGACTTATACTTTAGACTAAAATCCTTTTGCTTTGAGTTTATTATATTTTTATTTTGAATAATGATTGAACATTCAACTTTCACACTACCAATAGAATCATATTACTACTAAAACTTTACCAGTTGTTGAGACTGTTTCGTTGTTGACAAAGTCAGCTAATTTTGAACAGAACTCAAAAACTCAAGCCAGTATATGACCAACAAACACAGTTTTACACAGAAAAAATCTGAATATGTTTCATTAAGACATAAGAAGTTGTAAAAAGTTGTGGAAAATATGCGTTTCAGTAGTGACAGTTCTTAATGTTACACACTCATTTTCAGACTTTGGGACACATTTACATCAAGGCATGGGATCTAACTGGTAGCAGCATCACGTTCTGTTCTAAAATTAAGGGGTGTGGCTGAAATAAGGCTCCGCCTATGACAGTGACGTGAAAATGTGGGACAGCATTTTTTTAATAAAGTTGAATTATTATTATTTTTTTTAAATTAACCTTATAATAAATCTAAATCTTTTACCTTCGACTTCTTAAAAGAAAATTAAAAATAAGGTTTTAAAAACAACAGAAAAATGTAAGTATTATTTTAAAGTTGAATTTAGGGTTTTAAGGTTTGGGACATCCATCTCCCAATAGAAAGTACCTTATAAATTATGATTTTGTTTATATTTAGCTTATTACTATCTCAGTGCTTTGGGTGTAAATAGATCATAGCATAATCCCTGTACATATCTAAGGTCTGAATATTTTGTTGTTTTCTCTCTTTTTTTTTTTTTGGGACCACAGTTTGAACTAATTTGGCAGAATGGTCCATACAGGTGATCGTTTGTGGTAATGGAAGGCTTATGTAGATGTTATCAGAACTGTGGGTGCAAAGATTCAAGCTGAGGGTGCTTCTGCAGACTCCATAGAACCAGGTCTGCATTCAGTAGATAAAGGAGTAGAAGGGAAGTGATGTACACATCACAAATAAACAAATGTGGAAGTCATTTTCTACCCTGCAAACATAGTGGGATAAACTGATAAAAACACACAATTATTCTCGCATCGCATTGCCCACAATGAATAGCACCGTACAGACTGAACTAATTCTTTGTCATCTGTTTTGCATATTAGCTGCTTTAGCATCTCTCTATGTAAGAACATCTTCAGAGAAACAATAAGAGCAGTGTGTGAAGGGCTGAGATGGGACTGGTAGACACATTGACACTCCACTGACTGCTTCTGCAGCCTTTCATACGGCGGGTTGGACAGACTCAGGAACAGAATTGGTCATAGACAGACCGTGGGTGCAAGCGTGACTTTTTAACAGCCTCCTTTCCCCCCTCTGTCTCCCTCAGGATGTGTTGGGTGCATAATGTGACGGGGGTCTGGGTGTATCCACTGCTGGAGCACATTGGGCCCATGGCCAGAGTTCTTTTCTTCGTCTGCCTCACAGGACTCATCAGCCTCTACTATGTACTGGGAGAGATCCTCAACAGCTACATCTGGGACTCCTCAAGGAGTAAGTGTGTGTGTATTAGAGCTTGAAATATTTGTCCAAACTATTCAAACGGGGTTCGGTCAGGTTCGGATATCATTTCTCATGGATTTGTCATGCTTGGGTCGGGTTCAGATCTCATGTTTGCGTTTCTCACAGTCCGTCTCCCAATTCGAACCTGCATTTACCCCGTTTTTCGTTTTTCTCCACTACTTTTATTACCTTAAACCAATGGTCACCAACCCTGGTCCTGGAGATTCACTGTCTTGCATGGTCTAGTTCCAACCAGAAGTCCCCAAGTGGCTGGATCAGATGCATTAGTGTTAGGTTGGGGGGGGGCGGGGCAGCACGTTAGACGCTGGTTACAGCTAAACTCTACAGAAGAACAGATCTCCAGAAGGACGGTTGGTGACCACTGCCTTAAACAGTTTTTACTTCGGCAGGCTGGAGTCACAGTGAGGTCCACAAGACCACAAGTCCCATTTGGCGCACTTGCGGTCCTGTGGTTGTCATTTGCACATGCCTGCGAGGACTGTGAGACCATCCTATTTCTCATTTTGCCGCCCTTTCTGTGGCCTTTGGTGTGGCATCAGTGTGGACTCATACATTTTAGTATAACATTACTAGGCTTTATATACTCCACCAGTCTATAACTCCGCATTCCTATTGAGAAATGTTAATGCGTCAACGTGCTCCAAGCTGGGGTAAAGAATGAGGCGGTTGAGGATGAGCCCTGCCGTGGAAAACACTCTCTCTGATGACATGGATGTAGCTGGAATGCACAAATAGGCTCTTGCTAGCAGCACTAACCAGTGTTGTTTGTTCTCATTGCTGTCCACCTGTTCAATGGGGCATCATTGTGAAGTGGCATGGACCTGTCCTTGCAGTAGTGGTCAAGTTTTGTTTGAGTCGATTCCATTGTTTTTGTGTTGTAATCGCTACAGCTCAGACTCGCTGGCCTTCATACATACATATAGGCAAAGGTTTCAAGCCTGTAGACCAACCGGGAAATTTGTCTGCAGCACAGAATGTTTAACTAGTATTTTGTCATGAATTACATAAAATAAATTGCCTATTCATGTTTTTATATGGTTTTCTGTTAAATTTTCACAGATTTTCATGGCTTATTTCAGTGTATTTAGCTGCGTGAAGCACGGCACGCAGAAAGAAATGGGTCCAGGTCTATTCTCTAAACACCGCAGTGCTTCAGTTGGTGTCTGGGACTCTACCGCGTCACTCACGCCACGCAGGAGCAGTATGTGTGAATCAGGCCTATGAGAATCTGTGTGTTGTTCATGTGATCGGTTGCTCGATGATGACTTTATTCATTTCAACTGTTTTATTGTTATATTGTTTATGTACGATTTAGTGGTCGCTATACTTTATTTAGGCTGCGGGTTTCATGGCAATTCGTGGTAGTGCAGACCTCTAGCACTGACCAAAACATCTTGGTACTACCAAGATGGTAAAAAAATGAGGGCTATTTTTTGATACTTTTGACAAATTATTTAGAACTAATTTAAAAAAGAAAAAGGAGATAAAAAGAGAAAAGACATCTGAGTCTGCCTGGGTCGCTAATGCATGGTGAAAAAAGACAGCACATACAATAACACCCAGTCACAGGGGTCCAGGTTCTGGCAGTATTACATAATAATAAGTTAACATTAGATGAGGACAGTTTCTTATACTGTAAATGTTTTAAATTAGTAGTTGCCAGGTTAACGCGTCAAACCCGAAACGTGATCAAAAACGGAATCTCCATTGAGAAAACTGCGTGAAGAGCAGCACTGAAATTCCTCTGTCACCATCGGAAAAACACGCCACAGCCAATCACAGACACAGATGTTTTCAGAGAGGACATATCAGCAGGGAAGACAACAGTTTAGCAGGCAGCTTTCTGACTACGGCAAGAGAAAGATAAATACTGTTTCTGTATTTCTGTATTTATCTGATTACTGTCTGACTCATGTAGAGCTGGAGGTTCCCCATTATCTGATTGCTCAAGAGAATGTAAATGCAGTGATCGGATTACTGACAAAATCTGATTTTCTGCAGCTATCGGATTATTAAGTGCATGTAAAGATACACTCATTCTTAAATTGATGCCTGCATTGAACTATATAGTCTAAATACATACATACTAAATGAACTACAAAAGAGGAGAGTATGTGAAAAGCAAATAAAAACAGAAAGCAGTGATTTATAAATCTACGTTGACCTGAATTTAAACAAAAAACAGTATAAAGAAAAGATATGTATTGGTTTTACTTATCAGCTTCATTGAATGTGTTTATATGCACTCAATAATCCGATCAGAATCAGATTTCTGCAGTTATCCAATTATTCAAATGGTAATGAAAACACCATACTCCTTTCTAGAAATCTGATTAAGAAATCCGATAAAGAGGCTGGATTTTAGCTCAGTAATCTGATTTCTCAGTGCATGTGAACTCTTACTCTGATTTCTTTCGGATTTCTCAGTCTGAGCATGCACAAGATCAGACGGTGGTACCAGAAATATGTAAGCAGCGTCGCCGCGAAACGCAGCAAAACACTTTTGGAGTGACGCTGAAACCAGAAACAAAATAAAGGATTTGAATATTCTTCATCTTCTAGATGATGTGTGTTCATATTTTCAGGTAAAGTGGTGATGTTTAAAAAAAAGCTGCGGCAAGAAGTTCAAGTTTACGTTATGTTTACGTCACGTCTTCTTCTGTGAGTTTATTGGCTGGTTGCAAAGCAGAAATCTGATTACTGTCTGACTCATGTAGAGCTGGAGGTTCCCCATTATCTGATTACTCAAGTGCACATAAACACGTTCATTGGATTACTGACAAAATCTGATTTTCTGCAGCTATTGGATTATTAAGTGCATGTAAACACACTCAATGTTTTTTTAAAGACACACTCATTCTTAAATTGATGCCTGCATGTTTGAAAAAAATGTAAGGCTAGGAACATTTTGAAATGTTCAAAAAACATCTGAAACAGGTGATCATGCTCGGATATACAAGGAGCATTCAGGAAAGGCCTAGTCCTTTATAACCGAAGACGGAGCAATGTCCATGCATAAAAGACAAGGCCGAAAACCACTAATGAATGCCTGTGATCTTTGACCCCTCAGACAGCAATGCATTAAAAACTTGTAAAACCTTTGTCAGTAAACACCGTCCATCACTGCGTCCACAAGTGCAAGTTAAGACTGTACTATGCACAGTGGAAGTCATATGTCAACAGCGCCCAGAAACGCCGCCGACTTCTCAGGGCTGGAGCTCATCTGAAATGGACTGAAATGTGTATTGTGGTCTGACGGGTCAACCTTTTAGATTGTTTATGGAAATAAAAGACATGTTCTCAAGGCCAAAGAAGAAAAGGACCATTCAGACTGTTACCAGCATAAAGTTCAAAATCCTGTGTCTGTCCTGTGAAAGCACCATTAACACTGAACACATTTTGGAGTAACGTGCTGTGTTTTGGGCGCAGTCTTTTTAGAGACATCCATTATAATTTCATCATAACAAATCTGAGCCATATTTTGCAGGTGTTACAACAGCTGTGTAATAAGAGAGTTTGAGAGCTTGACTGGCCTGCCTGCAATCCAGAACTGTCTCCCATTATAAACATTTGTCTTATCAAGCTCAAAAATATGACAACAAAGAGCCTGTATGGTTGCATAGCTGAAGACTTGTATAACAAAAGAAAAAAAAAAATCACATTTCAAATTTTTTGTGTTTTCAGTCTCCAAATGATAACGAAGTGCTGTTAAAAGGAAAGGTGATGTAACCCAGTGGTAAACATGCTCCTGTCCCAACCTTTTCAGAATGTGTTGCAGGCATCAAATTTAAAATGAGCGTATATTTACAAAATAAATAAATAAATAAAAAAATAAAGTTCATAAAGGTGAAACATCAAATATAGTGTTTTGTACTGTTTTCAATTGAATGCAGGTCAAGCAGAATTTACTAATTGCTCTTTTCTGTTTTTAGTAATATTTCACATACAGTCCTGCCTTTTTTGGAATTATGTTTGTAAATCATTTTCTGAGGGTTTCATAAATGAACCCTATTCTGTTCATGTTGTAAGTGAGAGCTTTATCCGATCGAGGACCCGTTCTCCTTGATCTAATTAGGTCTTCAACAGGGAAATCATTTTCATTATAGCAAAAAGTCAAGGGTGTCACTTGAGAGGGGGGATAAGTGTTGCAGAGCAGTAACCAAATTTATTGTTAACAGTGATTACAGCCATTTTTAACTGTTTAAGCTCCCTGGTTTATAGAGGCTAAATTGCATAACTATACACTACACACTTTATTTATATGGTCCCCTATAGATGTTCTACAGCTGCTTGAATTATAAACAAACTTTCTGGTGAAACTTGGTTGATTATCAACAACATTATGGTTAGGCTTAGAAGTTGGTGTAGGTTTAGCCTTGAGGTTAGCGTTAGGATTAGAGACAGATTTAATAGAATCTTTCAAGTTGAGTTGCACTTAGTAGATATTTAGTTGAAGGTTAGTTAAAGATATACTGAACATCTACAAAGCATCTACAGTGGACCATCCAAATAAAGTGCCTGGATCTTCAGTTTGGACAGCAAGTGGAAGTTTGTGCCAAGACAAAGAAGAGCCTTGATGCTTGTCTTCCAGGTGTCTTGCAGGATGGTGGGTCATATCAGGCTGTACTCGAAGCTTGAAGTGCTTGATTTACAAAGCGAGTTTTGACCATCAAAGATCCCAACAGCTAACTTTACACAATGTCATTATAGGTCAGGTCTGAACAGCAATTTGCTGAGATAAGTTTGGCAGACATAGATAGATAGATAGATAGATAGATAGATAGATAGATAGATAGATAGATAGATAGATAGACAGATAGATAGATAGATAGATAGATAGATAGATAGATAGATAGATAGGCATACAATTAGATAGATAGATAGATAGATAGATAGATAGATAGATAGATAGATAGATAGATAGATAGATAGATAGATAGGCATACAATTAGATAGATAGATAGATAGAT